CTGACAGCACCTAACAGATGTCTTACAAGGAAATTCAAAGTCAAAAGTGATTCGAAGATTAGAAATTCTGGGGGGAAAAAAGAAGACTCAAGAAACCATGCAGGATGAAAGAGTCAATAGATCTCTCTGTGGGGAAGACTTTTCTGTAATAGCACTACTTTATCAGCATTACGCTTAAGAAAATTAGCCAACATCCAAACATTAGTATCAGAAAAACAATCAGGCGATGCAGCCGAAGCCATTGTGGTATTTGCAAAGACTCATAAATATCACTGAGTGCCATTAGTGTGACAGTATAGGTGATGAGCACAGGTTATTCTGACTAATAGATGCATATTCCAGACATGCAGAGTCGGTTCCAGAATATATCATCAAGGGACACCAGATGACATTGGAGACATGGGACAACAAAGCAATATACAGCAAATAATAAGAAAAATGGAGTGTAATTACAGCTAATAGTCAAAGGTATCAAAGGGCATAGGAGGGTTCAACAGTATCAGGGAAAGAGTAATGACAACATTGCTTTAGAGATGTACTTAGGTCACCCTGACAATGCAAGGACACAGAGAAGAATGAGACTCAAATTATGATGCAGAGCAAATCAATTCTGAGTTATGCAATAATGGAGATAAACTGCCTGAAACAGGATCTATAATTATTGGCAATGCTAACAATAATCTGTAGCAACTGGGAGGACTTTATCTTAAGGGAAACAAGAATTTGTAAATACACATTACAACAAATCAGCAAAAACATATTGGAACACCCACAATCAAGTTCATTTCAATGAGCATTATTGAATGCCAACCATGTGCCAGGCACTGGGCTGGGAATTAGTGATTCAGGGGCAAACAGGAGACAGTGAGAAGCTGGCAGTGTAGCTGGCTTGTAGTATCTCGGGCTGACCTTACCACAGCCCAGACAACTACTTATAGCTTAGATTTCTCCTCTAGACTGGAAGCTTCTCAGCAGTCAGTACTCATCAAATGTGCAGCACACAGAAAACTCAATTATTTGCTAAACGAATAAACGAATCTTTTCTGAATGTTTTATTTAGTTCCTATGAAAAGATGTTTACAAGGGCCACATCACAGCTAAGGTAGTGGATTTAACTCTCAAGAGTTAATGTGCCCTGGTGTTTCAGTGGTAGATTTCTACCCTTCCATAAGGGAGACCAGGGTTGGATTCCCGCCTAATGCACCTCCACCCATGTGCAGCCACCACCCTCTGTCAGTGGTGGATTGTGTGTTGCTAGGAGGCTGAACAAAGGAGCCCTGGTGGCACAGTGGTTATGCACTCGGCTGCGAACTGGAAGGTCAGCAGTTCGAACTCACTACCAACTCCATGGGAGAAAGATGTGGCAGCCTGCTTCCATAAAAATCACGGCCTTGGAAACCCTAGGGGGCAGTTCTACTCTGTCATACAGGGTCGCTATGAGTCAAGCGAAAGCAGATCCGACTATGAGTCAGAATCGACAGCAGTGGGTTTTGGTTTTGGTATGATGCTGAACAGGTTTCAGCAGAGCTGACAGACTAAGAAGAAAGGCCTGGTGATCTACTGTCAAAAATCAGCCATTGAAAACTTATGAGTCACAGCAGCCTGATCCACAACCAATCTAGGGATGGTGCAGGACTGGGCAGCATTTCTTTCTGTTTTGCATGGGGTCACTATGAGTCAGCAGCTAACAACATCAAAAAACTTTTGCTAGAGGAGCAGAGGCAGATGCTTCATCTGAGTGGCCTGAACTGCCACACTTTTCACTAAACCTTGCCTTTGAGTAGCTTCTGACTCACAGAGACTCTATGGGACAGAGTAGAACTACCCCATAGAGTTTTCAAGGAGCGGCTGGTGGATTCGAACTGTTGACTTTTTGGTTAGCAGCCGAGCTCCTAACCACGGTGCCACCAGGGCTCCTAGCTTTTAATTAGTGGGGTGATAAAGAAATAAACTAACACAGATGGTTGCTCATTAATCTTTTACACATAGCGTAATAGTTAAATAGACTAGAAATCAAAGAACACTCCATAAAGATGCACTTAAAGACTAAGATTTTTTCTTTTTTAGGTTTTGTTATTGTTATTTTCATTAAAATTGTATAATGATATTCCATAATGGATATAAACAAATTCAGTCAACTTTTTCTCTAAGGCTGGACAATCTGGTTGCTTTTTTTTTAGACTAACATTTTTTTAAATGCTTAAGTAAAATGTTGATGTTTTCAGTATTTGCTAACTCTTAACAATAACTTAATGTTTCCCTATACCTTCTTGGAAAGTGTCCTCCTAACTCCTTGTGAAGTCAAATTTTAGGGTCATGTCCCTTCCAGGGAGCCCCGGTGGCAGAGTGGTTAAGAGCTCAGCTGCTGACCAAAAGGTCGGCAGTTTGAATCCACCAGGTGCTCCTTGGAAACCCTATGGGGCAGTTCTACTCTATCCTATAGGGTCACTATGAATCAGAATTGACCCAAAGGCAACGGGTTTGGTTTGGGTTTAGATCTGTTCCAGGGCTCAAATGCATCTTAGGAACCTCAGCTGTTGGACATTAGAGTCCCTTGTTCTCTTAGGCCACCCCAGCTGCTCATACCTGCCAAGGATTTTTCTCCACACCAGCCATCCCAGATCACTAACCTGCTTAGACCGACGGCACTAAACAAATGGTAGGTCTCGCAGTGTGCCTCTCTTATCATTCTAGAACGTTTTTTTTCTCTCCTCTGATCTCTTGCCTTTCACTCTCTACAAGGGACCCAAATAGGCAGGAAGCAATTAAGGTAATAAAAAACCAGCCTGACTTTTATCTTGAAGTCTAGAAGACCTCGCCACACCTGGCTGCCTCGAGGTATTTTCTTTACTTGCTGTTTTTTTTTCTTTTTTTGAGACAACTCACTCCAAGTTTCACTCTTTCCTTATCAGATCTTTATTTTACAGACAATGACTTTTCTTATTAACTCCCTTACAATCTCCAAGTTTTTACATACTCAGTGAAGGGGCTATTATTTTACACAGAACATAAGTTTTTAAAACCAGACGTAAAAAGGATTTAAAGCACATATTTTAAATGGGCTTGTCCCCTAATCAGCTGACTTATCTCTTGTGTAAATAAGATTCCCACCACCCCCCATCCCATCAAACAAGTACACTTAAAATGAGTTCAGCTGCATTTATAAAATTTCTTTTCCAACTGCCCAATAGAGGGAAATCAATACCACCCAAATGAAAAGTATAAAGCTTTGAAATGGGAAGGCTGTCTTATTAAAATGCAGCCTCCCAAAGAATCTGCATTGTAAATACATACACGAGCATAGCAAGAAAGCACAGCTTTTCCCTCTTCTTATCTCTCCCCGCCTAGAGGAGAGATGTGGAGGGGAAGGCAAGTGGTGTACACAATGACTGATGATGACCAGAGGCCGCTCCACACCCTGACTGCCCGCTCTTGTCACAAGCACACGACTCATCATGCTTGTAGAGCACTCTTGCCAATTCTCTCCACAAAAGTGCCACTGCTTCTAGGTGTCATCTTCGACGGTCCTCTACCCACTGCCCAGGACCCATTTCACACACGGTTACGGGTCTAGAGTTAATGATAACACATTAGAAACTACTTGGAAACTCTAATACATGCAACCAGTCCAAAGAAACTTGATCTTCAAGGACTTCAAGGAGCACCTGGCATTCTCTCCTACCCCTGCCTTCCTTCCCTGCTGCCAGGTTGTATCCTGAAGTTCCTCTCCCTGCACTGCTGAGGACACCAAGAAATGCCTAAGGAAACCATTTTCCCTCCAACTCTCAGAATAAATAAGAATTAAAGTCCTCATTAAAACCCGTTGCTGTTGAGTCGATTCCAATTCATAGTGACCGTATAGGACAGAGTAGGGTTTCCAAGGAGCGGCGGGTGGATTCCCACGGCACTTTTGTTAACAGCCGAGCTCTTAACCGCTAAGCTACCACGGCTCCAAAATCCTCATAAGCCACATTCAAATGATTATTGTCGTATAATATTTTTTTTAAAAAAAACCATGGCATTTGAAATCAGAGAAACTGTGTTTAAAGTTCCCTTCTTGTACTCATCACTGCTTGCATATTAGAATCACTGGGAAAACATTAGAAAGAAAGCACAGTGTTGAGCTACCTCCGGAAATGTTGATTTAATTCCTCCCACGTGAGTCCTGGCACAGGCGTTATTTAGAAGTTCCCCTGATTATTCTAGTGTGTAAGCACTATTGAGAACACACACACACACACACACACACACAAACTGTGAGACTTTGAAACCGTCACTTAGCTTTTTTGAGTCTCGGGTGTTCTTTTTGCAAAACGGGGGCTGTAATTTCTTATTTGACAAGGTAGTTTGGAAGAAGAAATACAGTATATGTATATGAAAACACTTTGTAAAGTATACATCACCATTTAAATTTAAAATGTTTTTATAATAACAATAACTCAAAACACTTGTTGCAGGACGATTTGCTAACTTATTAACTCCTGTTTTAGTCTTTGTTCTATTGTTTTCCCCTCATTCCAACAATGTAGTAAGGACTTTGACGGGGGAGGTGGGAATTTCGTGGGGAGCAGGCTGGGATTATGTTGAGCCTCCTGAAGAGAGGCTTTGAAGACAAGTGCACAGATTTAGGGAGAAGGGAGTTGGGTTTGGGGGACAGGGCAATACACAGAAGCAATGTCTCCCAAGACTGGAGAGAGGATGGCTGTGGACAAGTTTGTCCAGGAGCGGCCATCATGGCTCTCCTCCCCCTGCAAGGAAGAGACCTGGCCTGGAGGACGGCAGCCAGGGTAGCTGAACCCTGAGAGTCGTACCTTAGGTGCTTGCCTAACTTGGCATACGTGTTGCTGTTATTAGGTGCTATCAAGTTGATTTTTGACTCTTAGTGGACCCATGCGACAGAGCAGAACTGCCCCATAGGGTTTTCTAGGCCATAATCTTTACAGGAGTAGATTGCCAGGTCTTTCTCCCACAGAGCCACTGGGTGAGTTCGAATCACCTACCTTTCAGTTAGCAGGAGAGTGCTTAACCATTGTGCCACCAGAAGTCACCACTTCAAAGTCTTCACCCCACTTCATTGTGATTAAAATTCAATTTTCTTTTATTGGAGAGGGATCTTGGAGCAGATTTATCTGAGTTAGAAAAATAAAGGAATTAAATATTTCTTATTATACAGCTAAGATAGTGTATAATAAAAACTCAGAGCTATTTTTTATTTAACAAAAGTTTAATAGAACTTCTATGTACCACATAGCTACTATATTAGTTTCTAGGGGTATCTTTCAAATTCAACAAAATAAGATAAAACCTACTAGGATAGATTATATCCTAGTAATAAGTTATGGATAATAATTACAGAAATAGCAATAATATTAATAGATTTGTTCTCCCCACCTGAAAAGGTAAGGCTCAGATGAGATAGTACATTTGAAAGTAAAAATCCATATGGTCATCAGAACGACTTAAGAAGCTGCAGCTATGACATAGCCCAATATAGACACAAGAGTTGGGCAGAATACAATCCAATAATTTTTAAATAGCTATGACTATGAAGAAAATTCAGGAAAAAAACAAGCAGTAAATGATTACTGGATTCCAAGCTAGGGGTGAAATAGCCAGGCAGAAGGTTGCAGGCTCAAATCACAGCTGAAAATCAGGGACTTACAGATTCAAATCAAAGTGCAAGTCCATCCCATTTGTAGGGTTTGAACTTAGAACTCATTTTGACCAAGAAACTATAAAAGAAAGCTCAGTCTTTCTCTCAAAGTTGTGGGGAAAATGGCCCTGGATTTTTACAGCTCCAGACCTCATACCCTAGCCAAAATCTCAGTTTGAATATGCAAACTCAGCCCATTAATGATGAAATCCAATTTATTAGGGATAGGAAATTATTTCCA